TGTCGGCGCAAAAAATGCATTCGAGTTTCCTCACTATTTCCTTCGGGGAGGTGGGGCATTTTTTTTTTCTTTAAAAGATATTCCTCAAGCCTAAGACGTCCGCTAGTCTAATACGAAAAAAAATGCATGGCGGGAATTGCCGTATTTTTTTTAATCTACGGCTTCTCATTGCCAGGTTCAACCGCATGGGTTCAATTACAACTAAACAAAAGAAAACAGGCCGCAGAGCAGGTGCCTACAATTTCGTTCGTAACTTTTATCATTGGCAAAAATATAATGCAGAATATAATCGGTATCTGGTTTTATTTGCTTATTACTTTATTGATTATTGGGGATCAAAGAGATAACGATTAATTACTATACATGTTTCAGAATGATGAATTGAGTGATTGAACGGCTGAGGTTATTCTAATGTTAAGTTACAATACTGAATGAATATTGCCCATTCATTCATTTGTTCGTTCATCGAAGTGAACATAATGTTGTCACCCTTCTCGTCCGGTGGTTTGATTTCTAACAGGATGCTGGACTAATGATTTATCAGTAGTTTGACTGTGAGATGAGTGAAGTGCGAACGCTGGTCGTTGGATGCCATGCTTGATCGCTCTTTTTCTTTCTAAGGAAGTCATGTTTCTGTAGGTGGCTTAGATCTTCAGAATATTCTGTGCAAGTTTACTGTTTAGGCAGTCCTGTAAAGAGATCAGCAGGATTGTGCTATCTCAAGTTGCTCAAGTGACATGATTTGCAGGGCAGATAGCTCTTCCGTATGAAATATTATGCCTCATGAGAAAAAAAAATGTCAATCGCAGGTAAATCCCAGATTGTTGTGCAATCCAAAAAGAATAAAAAAGAAAAGTAGATCGTGATGTGCCATTTGCAAATACAGCAACCTTTTTTTTTTTTTGTAACCCTAATTCATCTCACATATAGCCGAGATTTTTCAGCAATCGTCTGCGTAAGCGTCGTCTACCTAATGGGTTAAAAATTCTACGCAGGCTAACTTTGTACAAATAAATTGTGTAGGATTGCAAATCTGCATTTGAATCCAGTCGGTGCTTGTCACAGCTGTGGTGTTATGATTATTACGCTCGACAGCTAGCCCGAAGGTCGCGAATTCAAATTCTGGCAGTTCCGGCCGAGTTTCGTTGGATGCCATTTCACAAGAAGATATGTTCCGCAAGAAAATCCCCACGCACATTTATTATTTCACTTTTGCCGTATTCAGGTAACGCCTAAAAAGATTGAAGCAATACTCAGCGCAAAACCACGCCTGCAGTACTCGAGAAGCTTCAGGACTGCATTAAAGTTCATTTTGTTAAGATTGCTTGCGTGGCTACTTGCGTGGCTACTAGTGACAACCCTGGAATATTCCACGGCACCTGCATAAATGCCGATTCTCACCACCGCTTGTTGGTTGATCGACGGCCGGCGCTCTGTTCGCCGCTAGCTGTGTCAGTGTGTATCGCTGTAACATGACCTTCAGTTTGCCAGTCACAAGTGCGGCCAAATAAAGAGTTTCTTTTTTCGACACGCCCACTGTTGCCTTCGTCGGCGTCACGTCTACGGGACAATACTCATAACTTGCAAGTACGTCCCACTGTGGAACTCTGGGATACGACCTCAGCATGCGCCGCCATCACCGAGCACACGGCTGCAGATGACACCGAGTCGCAAGCTGTGTGGCTTTCACTTTTCTCGTCAACGCGGTACGTCGCAATAGTGATTTGTGCGATATTTGATGGCCGGACGAGAAGTAAGCGTGTGGTTTAAAAAAAAAGTGGCCTGGCGTGGGGACGTACTGTTTGCTAAAGGTGATCACAAACCCATGCAACCGCACGAGAGAGCTGTCTGCAAAGCAGAGCACATGTAGCTTAAGCACGCATAAACAGGAAGGACCTGAAAACATTGAACAACGTACTATCACGTACCGACGTACCGACGGCACTATCAGCGCAGTGAATACATATCGTTGGCAACATCACACATGCACAGCGTGTGCTCCACGATACACTCTTTCCCCCACGCGCCTACGTCATGGACACCCTAGTTTGCCGTCTGCTAGCCGCAATTTCGTCTGCTATGCCGATGCATCCTGCATTTTAGGTTATTTCAATCGTTGCAGTATTCTTTAATGAACGGTTCAAAAGTAAGGTGTTTTTATACCCACGTTTGTATTCACACAGCAATTTCGAATCGGCATGGACTTTAGACACTCGTCACGATCAGCGCACAAAACGGACAAAAAACGCAAGTGCCCGACACAAGTGCTGTGTCGTGCACTTTCTTGTGTTTTTGTCCTTTTTGTGCGCTGATCGTGATGAGTATTGTTCCAACTAGCCCAAATTACTATACTTCATAGACCTCAGAGAGCTTTGGTGCACTGCACGCAATGGTTTAGACGAAGTAAGACTGCGCGTGCGCTGAACCTAAATTAGATACGTGCGCGCGCAAGAGATGGGCACGTTAGATTTCGCCGCTTACGTTGCGCCCGCTACGGCCGTTGCGTACCTTACCGGAGCCTGTCTCGCGAGATCTCGACGGGCTGCTAACGTTGGCATGGCTGCTGCGAAAAATATGGCAGCATATCCACGGAGTGAATGATGGGGAGTGGGGCGAAGCATTGAAGCATTCGTCCGTCCATTCGTTCTTACTTCCGTCCGTTCCTGCGTACGTCTGTTCGTGCGTCCGTCCCTGCGTTCTTCCATGCATCCACGCCTGCATCCGTTCATGCGTCCATCCATGCATCTGTCTGTCTGTCCATTCGTCCATCTATTCAGCACTCCAAGTACCACGATCTCGCATCTTTTCATCATATATTCTCCATATAGAAGCACCGCCATCCAGCGGACATTTCAAGAACTAAACGGGAGGTGGCACACGCACACTTTCTTACGGCTTGCGCTTCGGGTTTACTTCCCACCTTTAACCACCTCGAGTTCATTGTATATACTAGTTCACTGTATTCATGGCTATGTGGCCCAACGCTCGCTAAACCTTTCTAAAACCAAGGAGGTTACACCCAGCGAATATAACGTAGCAACCCTTTCTTGTCAGATCGTGCTCAATGTACATGCCAATAGCTGCTAATGGGGATCGCAGCGTGCGCGTTACCTAAAGGCTGAATGCTCCTATCTCTCATTCCCCATTAGCAGCCATTAACATGTGCATTGAGCACTATCTTTTATTGTTCAACAACGCACAGAAGAAATCTCTCACCGGAACCACCTTGGAAGTCAAAATCGTAAGGACCGCTATTTCGGGTATGTGCCACTGGTGGTTATGCACTACGAGGGACGCACAAGTCACGCCATAAGGAGCTTCGCCCTTAAAAAGGGCGCGTCCATCGGCCACTGCAGTTCATTTCTTAGCCTATGGATGGCGCAGAGCAGCACTCAAACTCAAGGCTTTTTACGCCGAAGCCCACTCCACGTTTTGGTTGTTGCGTACGGTAAACTAACGCTGTGCGCGACAGCTTCAGCCGTTACGTACCCAACGCGCCGCGCCTTGTGTTCCTGGGGCATAGCGCGCGTTAAACCAAAAACTGTCTCTTGAAATGCCAGCTTAGCCGACAAAAATGCGGCTAGCGGGCCCTATGGGAGTGTCCGCTCTTTGGACAGTTATAGTTTAGCGTTAGCGTGATAGCGTAGGTTAAGGGAATGGATGGAGCAAACGTTCGTTGTGGGCAGCGTCTTATAGTTTAGCGGTATAGCGTTTACGTGGTTCACGTGACCCTGCTCTGATGGTGGCGCCACCTATTAGATGGTTAATAAGTTAAACCGTGAAAATGAAAAGAAAACGAGAATGTTTGCTTATGCCACCGCACGTGGCATTGTTAGAAGTTTATTTTAGTGATTATAAAATAAATAAATATGAACTACACACCAAACGCGAGAACATCTACGTTGCCGATTTGTATACGTCGATCTTGTAGTTAGGCCTAGGCGCGTTCGAAATGGGAAGCTATCTCAAAAACTACAACCAACTTATCTGTAGTACTCGGTCATCGAAGCTAACTGATTGCAAGCGAAGCCACTATGAACAGTCGTTTGCGGCGGACAAGGTGAATTTTTCAACAACTGCGCCAAAATCACTTCGAAGCGGGCGTCCGAGAGCGCCGCCATGTTTACGTACACTAGGTACGCCTACGCTACCACGGTAACGTGAAAATGTAGCAGGCTGTGAACAAGCGTATTGATGACGTGGTGCGCGTAATGGAAAGAGTGTATCGCAGGGCACATGCCGCACACGCGCAATGATTTTGACGATGGGTGTGACGTGGCGCTGATAGTACTCTTGGCCACGCGCTCGTGTGTTCACCATAACGAGGCGCACCGTTGTACGTGTGTGTGGACGTCACTTCGTAACAGGCAATTTATGTTTCCGAATCTTGTGCACAGTTGTTTCATCCATCAAGTGCGACACCGTGGACTTGGACATGGCAGACAAAGAGGATCCGAGTTCCTCGGCGAACATTGCTTCGCCGCTGGCTGCAAAATGTCCTGAACGATCCTCCTTCGTCATGCGCGTGAGGCAAATGATCGGAAACACGCAGACTGTGCCAAACGATAAATATGCAGCCTAAACTAAACTTCAAATAGCTTCAGTTTAGTTCATGGGCTGAAGACAAACATATGTGTTAAGCATACACACATCTTTCAACGTATATGTCTCAATTAAGAAAGTGTTCGTGTTGTCTTCTCGACGCATCCGTATGGTCCACGTTCTGTGGGGCATGTGTCCCTGTCCCAATTTGTTTTCCAAAAAAAAAAAGACGGGAAATAAAGCGATATGCTTGAATCAAAATCAGGTCCACCAAATACAGATCGCTTCGAAGAGAACAAGCGGACGACGATTTGTCATTGTCCGCTGGTCGCTTATGCGGGTAGCAGGAACAACGCAAAAAGCACGCGTAGCACCGTTGTTCTGTGTCAGTAGTCGTCCGTGCGCGGCCACTTCGAGTTGTAGTCTCCGAGGATTCAGTGAGATCACTGCAAGAAGCGATGCATTCGATGGTCCCGACAGCCGCCTACCTGGTGGTAATGCTAGCGACTGCGGATCTGGTTCTATCGGGCGGCGAGGTGGACGCGGAGTGCGTCCAGCGTTTTCGAGTGTGCGAGCAAGAGTGCGTCGCCGAGGCCGAGACCTCGAAGCAGATGGCGGAGTGCACGCGGGGCTGCGAGAAGAAGCACAGCTGCAACCAACCCAGTAAGTGTTCCCCCTCAAACGTTGGTGAAAGAGAGGGAAAAGACTTTATCGAACACAAATGAGCCGGCAATTTGATCTCGGTGGCTTTAGGTGGCGGCTCGTAGTCCCTGGACTCGGGCGACATCCTCGACGTGCCGGACGGCCCAGAGTTGGTCATTGGCCGCCTCCCAACGCCGGCGACAAAAAAAAATCATTTAATTCGGAGAACGAGAGTTGCGCGTTTGAGCCGATGTTTTGACAAATGGACTTGTCCTTTTCAAGGCTAGAGCTAGCCTCCTCTGTTTAAGGATTTCTTCACCGCAAGATTTCGTCTTCCCATTCCTTTCTTTTCAATGCGAATACATTTCTTAGTCAGGCTATTCGGTCTAGTCAGCTCAGTCAGGTTGGACGCTTCGCCCCACTCATCGTCGTTCACTCCGCGGATGTGCTGTGAATTTGTAATTGTAACAGCGCAATCTGTCCTTTTTAATCGTCAACTATACGAAACTACTAACGTCATCTCGTGATGTTATTTTCAACGACTTATACACAGAACGCCATCTAGTGAGCAATCTACTACAATATACTACGAGGGAACGACGCACACCGTAAGGAGCTTCCGTGAAAGCCCGAAACGTTACTTTAGTGTTTTTAGCCTTTCGATTTTCGCCGGCTTTCATTCATTTCGCTTTTCAACCTTTCTCTCAGTCCCGATCACACGATTCATGGTCCAACCCTCGACTTCACCAACTTACCAAATATCTCAGCCCTCTGTTACTCTAATCGATGTAGTCGTGTTTGACTGTGTATACCTCTTTATACTCCAGGCTGTCCAGAAGACTTCGATGACGACAAGTGCCTGCTGCAGACACCGTTCCTGAAGACGTGCTACGTGGACGCCATGTGTCCCGATGGAAGCCGGTGTTGCGCGACCGGAGACGAGGGCTGCGAATGGCGATGCACGAGACTCTTTTGAAGTCGCCCACCCTCTGGTCACACGTCTGTCTTATCATCTGATTTCAGGGCGATGAGATAAAGATAAAAGCCGTCTTTCTTGGGGATCTATAGTAATCTTCCTTTATATGCGATTTGGTGTAGCGAAGGGTTATGCGTGGCTTCAGTACGTGGAATGTGCTCTGTTGGTTGTTGGACATTATTTGTTCGTGTATTCCAGGAATGAGCACCCTCGCAGGACATGAAACGTTACACACTCAGTTTTCTCTCACTTCTTGCCATGCCGAAAAGTGGGCAGTGACAAAATTTCACACTCTTATAGATGCACTGGAGGCTTCTCTGAAATAGCATCCTCTTAGTCACGCGTTGAAGTTACAAATTCGGGGACAGGTGGCGCAGCCGTTTCCATCGCTACGATGTTAGCTTTGTTGTTCGTATGCAGTTCGCCGTGGTCAACTATGGCACAAAGCGATACACCAAGTTGTGTTGAAGCGCTGTCGGCTGTTGAACAGATTCCAGCGCGTAGTCTTGCACTGGGCCAAACACACTCAGCTGTGGCCCGCTAACGTATATCATGAGTGTTGCCGTGGGAACGAGTGGGTAACAACAGCTACCCTAAACGCACGCACACGCACAAACACGTACACAACAGACGTACACAAAACACACACGCGCGTACGCGTGGGCACTGGGTTGCACAAGAGGCACTCCCTTCAGTCATCTCCCCCCACCCCCGCCATCCCAAATCTGCCACACCGACACCAGCCTCTCGGCGGTTTTTTTTTCAGAAGCCATTCAGAGTATGCAACAATAATTAAAGCCGCCCCAATCCTTCGAACGTTGAGGAAGCACGTACAATACAATACAGGTGCCCATGGACCTCTCGTACTGAATTGCAATTGATGTCTATTTCCAGCTCATTCAGCGCCTAGAGACAAGCTGTGAAGGCAAGGCGATTGTGCGAAGTATGTGTTCGCTTAAATTTAATTTTGTACCCATTGCTATCCTTCTTGCCTTTCTTTCGAACTCGACCAGCAAGGTCGAAGTGGGGGGGGGGGGGCAGCGTAGTAATACTTGCGCCCTTAACCCCAACAGAGAGAATAGAGAACCACGCGCAGTTCTTCAGATTACAGAAGCAGACCTAAGTTCACTCCCGCTTCTACAGCTGCACGAGTAAGCAAAGTGAAATCATTCAGTCTGGTAATTAATCCTTTTGTACAACATACAACCAGTTCTTTCTCATAGAAAGATGTAATATTGTTCGCGTTAAAAGCGCCTGTTCATGCGCGTGCTTCCCATGAGGCCCAGCGTGGAGCCAGCTTGCAGAGGCGTTCGACGCTGTTGCTGTTGTTTGCGTGGATCGGTGAAGTAATTTTCGCACGTTACGTCGCAAGGCAATGGCTTGCACGAGAGCAAGGAAGTGTGCCTGCTAGCACGTTGAGAACTTGGCACAAAAGGGGGAAAAACACGTAGCTGGCCAACTACTCGGAGATAATTTTGGACGCAGCCCTGGCACTTATTTCTCCTAAATTGTTCTCCTCGGAAGTTCCCACGCGTGTTCGTTCAAAACCGTCGCTGGGAACGGAACGTGTGGCACACAAGAAACGTGTGAAACTAAATACAGGGCGTACACTGCGGGCAGCCTCTCTGTTCCTTTCTTAGATAGAAGTATAAAAGAAAGGTAATTGTTCCAGGAACTCGCTTCTTTGTTAGACACGAGTAATGAAACCACAATACAGCTTAGCCAATAAATGCATACGGGACATTATTTGTTGTTTCTATAGTTATAGTGCATATGAAGATAATCATCATCATCATCGTCACCAGCAGCAGCAGCATGATTACGCCCACTGTAGGACAAATGCCAATCAACCCAGTCTTGTGCTTCCTGCTGACACGTTACAGCTGCGAACTTCTTCATCTCATCGGCCCACCTAGTTTTTTGTCTCCCCCTTATGCGTTTGCCTTCTCCGTGAATCCAGTCAGTTGCCCTTAATTACCAGCGGTTATCCTGCCTATGCTTTGCGCACCCGACCCATGTTCATTTCTTCTTGATTTCAACTATATATGATATCCTTAACTCCGGTTCGTTCCCCGATCGACTCTGCTGTCTTCTTGTCTCTTGAAGTTACATATATAATTTTCCTTTCCATCGCTCGCTCTGTCGTCCTAAATTTAAGCCTTATCCTCTTTGTAAGCCTCCAGGTTTCTGCTACGTAGCTAAGTATACCGGCAAGACGCATCTGTTTTGTACCTTCCTCTTGAGAGTTGGTGGCAGATCACCATTCATGATTTGAGAATGCTTGCCGAATGCGGTCCACCCCATCCTTATTCTTCTCGTTCTTTCACTCTCATGGTTCGGATCCGCGGTTATTATAGACCTGTCCTAAGTGGACATATTCCATAGCAACTTCCAGCGTCCCACCACCTATCGCAAAGCGCTGTTTACTGCCGAGACTGTTGGTTTTATGCATAGAAATTTTCAAACCTACCCTTCTACTTTCCGGGTCCTGTTCAGTAATGATGAGCTGTAAATATGATATATATATTGAATGGAGGTTAAGTGAATGAAAGAAACACCCTTTCCGTTGGCGAAATCGGAAGCTGCAACCGTCGAACAATGCGTCCGATATTGTGCTCATTGGTCTGCCTCGGTGGAACAGTGGCTACGGTGCTCGGCTGCTGCTCCGAAGGACGCGGGTTCGATCCCATTTGAAGCGGTCGCGTTACGACTGAGGCGAAATAATAGAGGCCCGAGTACTGTGCGATGTTCAGTGCACGGTAAAGGACACCAGGTGGCCGAAATTTCCGGAGCTTTTCTCTACGGTGTCTCTCATAACCATATCGAGAACTTGGGACGTAACACTCGAGATATTGTCACTATTATGCTGTACCAATTGGGCTACGAGTGCGGGTGTCCTCTCGCCCACCCTTATGGGTGTTTATGTACCTCGGTTAAACGCCACATACCTAGAACGAAAAAAAAAAAACCATTGGAGCTCATTCAAACTCACCCAAATAAATATTTTGCTCTTAGGGCTCACTCGCAGAACCAGGGTCACTAACATTTTCCTCAACCAGATTCATTCGGTACACACTCACTAGAAATCGTCAACCAGACTCACTCGGCCCACACTCGCTAAAATTATCAACCAGAATTATCATCTCGGCCCACACTCACTAAAGTTTTCCTCGGCCGGATTCACTCGAACTCCAACTGACCAAGACACCACTCATCCTGAGTCAGACTCTGACTTACGGCATGATCTCAGTCGATGTGGACCTTAGAGAGTCTACTCAAGAGCCAGGAATGAGTTTGCTGACATATGGCATGGGAATCGGTAAACTCGCACTATATATACTAACCACTAGACCCTCTAAAAATGAAGAAAAAAACACACTGGTGGCGAATACTGATCAAGTTTTCTGAACATATCTAACCAATGATTGAGAAAGACCTTAATGGGCTTTTATTATTAATCCAGTGTTAAAAACCATCCCCACATGTTTCAGCTTCGCTGGTTAGCCATCTGTACGGAGTAGGGTGGGCGGAGACTTTTGTTTTTTGTTTTGTCCTTGAATCTGTGTAGTTTAGGCCGTTATTTATTTATTTATTTATTTTTATTTCACAATACTGCAGGCCAATGTGCTGGCCCAAGCAGGAGTGGATACATCAAAACGTAATTGAAGAAAACAACAGACAACAATACAAAAGAAACAAAAGGTTAAGAAAGAAGGTGACACTCAAGGTCACCAAGAAACTTATTAGAATGAAAGATGTCCCACGGCAAACAATTCCAGTCATCGACAGTTCTAGGAAAAAAAACTATATTTAAAAGCATTTGATCGGGCGAAAATTGGGGTTAGAGCATGTTCATGACCATAACGAGTACGTCGTACTGAGAGCGGTTTAACACAGTCAGGGAGATCAATTTTTACAATACCACACAAACAATTGTAAAGAAAGGAAAGACGACTGAACTTTCTCCGAGCTTCTAAAGTAGAAATGTCGTTTAATTGCATTAAGGTTGTCGGGGAATCAAACCTACGATATTTGCCAAAAATAAACCTTACAGCCTTTCTGTTAATACGTTCCAGATTCATAATATCTTTCTTGGTATGCGGATCCCAGATAATAGAAGCATACTCAAGCTTAGAACGAACACAGGCATTATAGGCTAGAATTTTAGTACGCGAGGGTGCAGATGCTAGTTTTCTTTTTAGAAACCATAGCTTACGTAATGCAGAAGTGGTAATGTCAGTTATGTGGGTCGACCAAGTTAATTTGCTTGAGAGTGTGACGCCCAAGTACTTATATTTGTCTACATTATTTATGTTAGTGCCTCTTAGAGTATAGTGGAATTGACTAGGGCTTAGCTTCCTGGTGATGCGCAGAAGCACAGTTTTGTTAGTGTTTAACTGCATGCCCCCGTTCTGACACCAGTTATCAATAGCGATAAGTGCATCTTGTAAAGCCACATGATCACACGGTGAGGAAATTTGCTTAAAAATGACGCAATCATCCGCGAACAAACGCACAGACACATTTTCAGGAATAAGAGAAGCTAAATCATTAACATAAATTAAAAACAAAAGTGGCCCTAGCACACTTCCCTGTGGGACTCCAGAGGACACACGAAGAACAGTCGATGAAGAATTACCAATCACTGCATACTGACGTCTATCTTGAAGATAAGCCTGAATCCACAGAACAATTTTTGTAGGTAGTCCAATACGCTGTAATTTGTGTAACAATTTCCCGTGTGGCACTTTATCAAAGGCTTTACAAAGATCTAAAAACAGTACATCAGTTTGCCCAGAAACATCAAGCACACGTGAAAATTCATGGACAGTTGTAACTAACTGGGTAACAGTAGATAACCCCCTTCTGAAGCCATGCTGATGCTTTGATAGTACATTGTGTTCACCCGTGTTATTGCAATCGATCTGTCCCGGTTAAAATTCACTGTGTTTTAGATAGAAAATTATGATCGTCGTCAACCGGTACGTGCTCAGTGACTCCCCAAGCACTCTGTACAGAAGGTTAAAAAGAGAAGCTGATACATGCCTTCCAATCTTTGCTGTGAGCCAGCCTCGCGTGACTGATGGCAAGCAGCGTGATTTTTCTTTTTCTTTTTTTTCACTGTAAATTTGGCCGAGTACAAAACCATTTTTAGTAGTCGAATTTCATTGCAAATTACTAAAAAAAAAAAGAATGATTTTTTGATATCGAATCCTAAGCAAATATCCTTACATTTCTGGAAGAGCATAGAAGTATTTTTAAAAACTGTTTGCAGCCAATTTGGCAAATATATGCGCTGATTCATTGAATCTTAATGGGATAAATATTGATGACTCAATATGATTACATCGGGTCAAGTGGAACGACAACTTCTGCATTGACGGTGTAGAACAGAATGAAAGCAAAATGAAAGTGCAAGGCTCATTCCAGCCATATAGTTATTATACTGACTCAGTATTTTAATACTGTTAATATACTGTATCAGTTAATATACTGAGTCACTGTATTAACTATATGATTCCAGCATTACGCGTGTGAAGAATAGAATGAAGCTTATTGATGAATGAGACCTGCTTATTCGGCTGCTAAATAGTTCGCCCTGGGGCAAGGAGCAGCCGTGGATGAGTGGGGAAGAGATAGAGGAGAGCACTCCTGTCCACCCCACCTGACTTCTCTTCAGCAACCATGCTTGCCAGTTGTCACCATTGCACCGACTGACCGCCATTGGTAAGTTTAATCATCGTGCAGTTACTAGTACACTGTAGTGCAGTTATGGTGGCTAGCTTGCCACCATAGTGCAGTTGTGAAAACCACTCAGTTTTACCACGCGTCTGTCGCGCCTTCTGTCGCGGAAGTTTTCACTACTGCGTGTGTCATCGTCAGCTCTGCTCACGAGATGGCAGTGCAGGTTAACTTGTTTTTCCTTGCCTCATTGAGTCGACTAGGGATGGCGCCACGACTCCACAGCACAAGTTCACTTGCCGGATGCAAGTGCGTCACAGCTGTAGCAGCCAGGGGAAGGAATGGTGGATCCATCTCCCCCAACGTTTTTCAATGCTGTCTGTGTTTATATCAATGCATTAATGCAAACGCGCACGCCATAACATGCATAAAGCCACGGGTGTACAGATGGGGTTGCAAGAAATTTGGATATTGTTCTATGCAGCAGCAATACGCTACACAGTTTGATTAACACACTTATCACCTGTATATCCATGTAAGACGGCCTTCAGGATATCTAGACAGCTGTGCGCGTGTTAGTCATGTCACGGAAATTTAGCTACCTGAGCTAAGTGCCTGCCCCCCTCCACCTTTACACGTCCGTCTGCCTTCCTTCAGTCTGTTTTTACAAGCGCTACCACAGAACACCTATACACTACCAAGGGCTACCCTTTTCAGCACAACTTGCAGCGGGGCGGTTGTATCCGGGGGAAGCGGAGTTGTCATTCAGCACTAGCAGCTTTTGCTGTTGAATGACAAAGTGATTGTCTTCACAGCCGCATGACATGACGTGCAAAGTTGGCTGGCAGTCCTGAAGTCTGCTTCACGTGGATATGCGGTAACTGGGTGTTGTGATCATGCTGTGAAGCTTTTTGCTCATACTGCATAGAAAACTTTATTGAGAACTAATACACAACGATGCCAAGGAAACTATAGGGGCTGTTTTTAGTGGTAAACATAGTGTGAGATGAAAGAAAGAAACGAGGGCGAAAACGTAACTTGCCTCTGGCACTCGAAGTGTGGCGGTTTGGGCTAGTGGCATAACATGACGATAGTTATAGCGCGAGAACAGAACGACGACAAAGGGCTCCTTTTTGTCCCTTTGTCGTCGTTCTGTCTTGCATCTGGCGGGGAGCGAACCTGAGACATTCGAATAACGCATCTAACCGTTGCTATTTGAGACTGCGGAATAAATAAATAAATAAATAAATAAATAAATAAATAAATAAATAAATAAATAAATAAAGCTAGCTGCCTCACCGGCCGTGCTTTTGTCAAGACTGTTTTTGTCCGCCGAAAGCAGGGCACTGGCAAACGTCATGGCTACCACGCGTCTGAGCATTAAATATTGTGAGAGATGACGGTAAATAATTAATAACGCATACCCAACCCCACCACGGTGGTCTAATGGCTAAAGTACTCGACTGCTGACACGCAGGTCGTGGGATCGAATCCCGGCTGCGGCGACTGCATGTTCGATGGAGACGAAAATGACGTGTGCTCAGATTTGGGTGCACGTTGAGGAATCCCAGATGGTTGAAATCTCCGGAGCCCTCCACTATGGCGTCTCTCATAATTATATGGCGATTTTGGGACGTTATATCATTGATTTGTATTCGGTTTGTGTATTAACTCTATGCGTTAAACCCGAGGAGGTACGAAAAAAATGCTGGAGTGGAAGCTTCCGCAATGTTTTGCCAGAAGAAATGAAGCCAGATTTTGTCCTCCAAATATCTCAGAAACAGGCTAATATCTGGTGGTGCTCACTTAGACATCAATTGGATTTGATGTGTTAGTCTAAATGCTACGTTAAATATAAATTGAATGGTAGTTTTTTCCGATTAAATAACCCGCAGGAACAAGTACTGGCAATCTCCAACAAAATTTGCCCTAAATGCGAGGCTTACTGAAGAAAACTAGTAACACAAGTACGCACTTTGAGTACTATCTGACCCGGAAAAGTTGCCACGTTAAACTCGTTGAGCGTGCTAGGAAAACGCTCCTTCTCCGTCGCCGAACGCAAACTATATACATACTCTTCATGCCTCTAGTAAGATGGCTAAAACATACGCCACCTTACAATAGGCACGACTTCACTTGTGGGCAATAATTTTCACTCCAGCAATTCTTTTTTAAACCTCCTTGGTTAAACTCCACATGTCATCAATAAAGCATAGTCTCAGAGTGCAAATAACTTGCTGTCTTTGAGGTTATATTAGCAAGAGGAGTGTTTGCGTTTTTTTTTTTTTTAACAACAGACTGCGCAAAACAACAACCGACCGACATCGTTGAGTGTTTCAGTTTTCGTTTTTCAGTACTTGCTTTACCGGCTCTGCTTCTCCCAAAACTTTTTCTCCTGCTGAACTTGCAGACGTCATGATTTCTGTGCGCCTGAGCCAGTTGTAAAATTAAACATGAAAATCGGTGGAAGACAATCAATAAAGCATGGCCTCCAATATGTTAAGGTTGCAAGTCTCTGAGGCTGAGCAAGCTTTAGTTTTTAGGCGACAGATGGCGCAAACCAACAAGAGGCCGGCATGTGTGGGCGTTTTCAGTTTCGGTTCTCCGCCACCTGCCCCACCAGCCGCGCTGCTGCCGTCTGTACTGCGGTTCTCGAATGCGGAGATTCTTCTTGCCTCGCTTCTCGCATCAGTCGGTGGTTGCGCGCCGCTCCGCTCGCATCTCCGCGGGGCTGCTTGCTGTGGTGTGCGCGAAGTTCTTGCTCTTCGCGGTGGTGTATTTTGTTTAATTTTTTTTTAATGTGGGTGCGCGGACTAGGGGTCGGCTGCTGAGGCCCAAACCCCGACCCTTCTACGAGCTTCTCGTGCTTTTATTTTTTTGTTTATTTCGTTTTGTCGCTTCAGTTTCGAGTCTCTTGCCTTTTTTTTTTTAACCGGATTATCTTGCGTTTCCCGCCGCTTGTCCTTTGAGGAGCAGCATCAGCTGTCATCTTCTCTGACGTCAGCAGAGGAAGGATATATGGAAGCACAGTCTTCCCGCAACCATATCAGCCAATTTGTGAGTTGCCGGTATCGATACACTGCATTTCATTGACTTCCTTATTTATGACTCTTTTTTTTTCGTTCCTCGGTCAGATGAAACTATTTGACGCTAATTTAGGATAGGTACCTAATTAACTTTCATTTAGTAATCATATCTTTTATTGCTGTTTCCTTTACTGATCCTTCAACCATTCATTAGAGTGAAGGTACACAGTCCGGGTGTTCTCAGTTAACAGACTTCACGATCGACTTGACCCGCCTTCACTGGAGATAGGGTTCGCTGTTCCGTTGCGGCTTCCTTTCTTATCGAAGAAGCGTTATCGCCGGCCTTTACCCCTTCTTTGCGGTCTTCTCTCGTGACTCTTTGGATTCCTTGCGCGTAGCTTATTGCAGCCGTCAGCTCGACACATTCCAAGTCGCTGATACAGCGGAAGCGCTTCTTAACGAACCTAGCAGTGACCTTCCTGCGCACTTAAGCGGTGCGGCCTAGTGGCGAAGCCGAACCTGGTTTTAACGTCGGCCATAGCGCCTGTACCCTTACTTTACAGCGCGTTCGAATGAAAGGATAGCGATTGCTTGCATCTAATAATGTGCTTAGTAGTCTCTTGAGTCGAATAAGGAAAAGAGTTTAGGAAGAAACAAGAGTAGGCGCTTAGGTATAGACTCAAAAGGCGGAAACGGAAAAAAAAAAAAAACTTTAAACCCGAAGCGAAGCAGACGACGCCGTTTTGGTTTCGAGCAGACGAGAATTTCATTGCCGCGAGCAGACGACACGATCACAGGTGACGCCAAAAAGGAACAGAATATGCGGATAAATTGAGTTATCTAGAAAAAGTGGCAGGAAATTGCGATAAAAGAAAGTGGTTGGAAAAGGAGCCTACCGGGTCATCTTCGCCGGCGCGCCATTATTATTTTTTTTTTCTCTCCAAGATGTCGGCTCGGCCCGGTGTTCTCGCGCGCAATGGACGGTCGTGGAGCCGCAGCCGGCTGCAGCTGCCGCGGCGCGGATATCGTCTGCTGCATAACGGTCGCGAGCAGACGACGGTTTCTGCCGCTGTCGTCTGCTGCGTGCACCGCTCTGCGTCTGCGTGACACTTTCGAAACGCCATTGCGTTGCGCGGTTGACTTGACAATGCATTCTTGCCACGGGTTCGGACCCCGTGGGGCACGAGACGATTGACGTGACACGAAGACGTAACGCCTGAGGTTTTCTGCGTCGGTGTGTGTTTTTGTGTGTGTGTTCGACGCTCCGTACGTGGGAAAACATGCGCGTCGCCGGGAACTTGACTTCTGCTAGGAGCAGCAGACGACTGATCAAGACCCGGATGATGACGTCGCCTATGGGAGTCGTGCTACATCTGCTTCAAATCGTCTGCCTCTTTCTTGCTATCGCAACACCAGTGGGTGCCGCCCCTGCATTCGATAACGGTGAGTGAATCATGCATATTTTTGCTGTTTTATGGCCGCCAAGATAGTAGGTCTTGACTTAGTGTTTCATCAGCAGGGTCCACACAGGCGTCGTTATCTGGTCAAACTCGCTTGTGCATTTTGTCGATGGTTATCTTACATACCAAGTGCTATGATATGTAACAGTTTTCTAAACATTAAAAAGGGTATAGCAGCTGATTCATCGTTTGCTCTCCTACACGATCACAATGTTATCTCATAGTTGATAAAACTATCCCCGCAAATGTCGTCTCGACAATGTTAAGTTCATTATACCGCTAAAGTGGCTCTGTACCGATTTTTCTTCCTCTTAATTTTCGGCATCAATTATTATTGTCACAACTTTGTTCAGTCTATTACCCGCGAATTATTATGAGCTTTCAAATAACTTTTATTGTAGTGTACGGCAGTTCTGGAAGTTACATTGAAGACTTCAATACTGCAGCTTAATCTCCCAAAGTGCGAAGCTTCAGAAGCTTACTAGACAGAGGTAAACTTCTGGTTACTTATGTGACAGTCTCAATCATAAGGCAACCTCGCGCATGCTACGCAGGGAGAAAGAAGTAAGCGGATAGAGAATGGCGGGTTTAAGTAGACTGTCCGAATTGTGCTCTTTCATTAAACTTACGATGTATACGAATACCCGGTCTGACCTCAAGTGCGACGTGATTGGTCGACATGTCTTCCTAACTAGTATCGTTCACAACATCCTCAGGGGTATACGTTATCGCACACTTCTTATCTGCGAAAACGCACACGTTGTGTTACACTCGGTTCAGAGCCGCGAAAGATAAGCGATAGCAAAATGAATCCGCTGTTTTGTCACCCATTCAAACGTCGGTCAAGTTTTGACGCGCATGTGGTCAGCGTCAAAAAGTTTGAGAATCACAAGCCGCAACAAAAGGGAGGAATATTTACCGTGAAACCGGCAGGCAGCCTTGAACTTTCATTTACAGTCTGCAGTTAATTAGGCTAAATGTGCAATCGCAAAATGCGCTGAAATAGTTGCCGCAGACCTGCTGGTCTTGATTTTGGGGTGCTGACTGTATATGCATTAATTCAATAATTCATTCACTCTTTCATATGATACATACATACATACATACATACATACATACATACATACTACATACATACATACATACATACATACATACATACATACATACATACATACATACATACATACATACATACATACATACATACTACATACATACATACATACATACATACATACATACATACATACATACATACATACATACATACATACATACATACATACATACATAACAACGACGTTGTCGTTTCTTTCTTGCACGCGCTTTCAATTCATTGTCTGATTCCAAAACAAACTGAACAAAACATGACACGGAACGCATCGCCTTAGTCGGTGCATTCTGAGCGCCTCTTTGGTTTTTACCGCGTCACGAGCGGCGAACCAATCACGACTGAAGAAAAAAAAAAAGAAAGAAACAGATGATGGCGGCCCGACGGGTCCAGGAAAAGCAACCGGATCGAACGCACGTCCCGCTTAATAAGACTAATCAGCCAACCCTCAATTACACCGCACCAAGGCTTTTCCTTGATTGCGCCCGCGTCTCTGCAAATGATCGCACCGTGATCGCGGCACACGACAAAGCCAAATCACGGGAGGCGTGTGTTATATATATATATATATATATATATATATATATATATATATATATATATATATATATATATATATATATATATATATATATATATATATATATGCAAAGAAGTGCAGTGTACAGTTTATAATTGCCTTCTGTGTACTACTACGAGGTCCAGACAAAACGTGACCCATTAATTATAGTGTGGGCGTCTGTAATACGTTTGTTTGTTTGTAATTTTGTGTTTTATGTGTCGGTCTTATTTTAGGCTTCATTAGCCGTTCTGCTTTTTGCGCATTTGTGTTTTTGCGCGCTCATCGCTTATCACGATTTTTTTCCTGGACATGATTAGAAGGCGATTAGTTCGTTAATTCGTCCTCAAATGTAGGCGCGCGTTTCACTTGGCAGTTATAAATGCGGAAGTGTACTATGGTATACCTCTTTCTTCAACTTTTAGAATGATAGAGTATTGATGAAGGCGTCGTATGCTTGGTAGGCAGAAATTAGTAGAATACCCTTCGTACAAGCAATAACAGCGGAAAGGTTTATGGTTTATTCGACATTTCTTTGTTGACATTCCTTTGTCTTTGTAAGAAAATAATGGGCTCCAGTCAAAGCGTCTAATAAACTTGCCGCTCTTGGTGCAGTTACCGAGTGTCTTCTAATAATTGCTCGCTCTCTCTCTCTCTCTCTCAGCACACACACAAACACAACTCTCTCTCTCTCTCTCTCTCTCTCTCTATATATATATATATATATATATATATATATATATATATATATATATATGTGTGTGTGTGTGTGTGTGTGTGTGTTTCAATGCGCAACACGTGAACGGAACGGCACTTCCATTCCGGTCTCACAACATTATTCATTTTGAAGGCATACATCAGCTTATAGGATGATTTCCAGCTGATATGACAACCAGGACCGAAAAAAAAAGATCAAAATAAGGACGAACAAAGGAATAAACGTAAATGAAAAGGATGATCGATCTACGGTTCAGTTTCTAGAGGGAGGTATAGAGAAACGTACAAGGATGGTGTCGTTCCTACTTGCGTCGTGTAGGAAGAACCCGATCGCAATCAGAGAAGCAGCCCCTACAGCAGCGTGCTTGGCAGTAGGCAGTGTTCTTTTTTTTTTTGGATTTGGGTCTGTCTGTCGGTATATATGTTGTCGCTTTCTCTCAATAATCCTGCTGAACAAACACGCACCCACTTATCCCTCTCGTTTTACTGCTATCAGCCGGATAGTTTCACTTCTTTTTTTCTTAATCCCTCCGAGGAAAATTGTACGGCCGATCCTTGATAAAGTATATAATGCCGCAGGCACTGCGCCGTGGATATATATGTCTTGCCGGCAGTGTACACGTGGTGTACGTGTAATTATAAAGCGTGCGCGTCGATGGAACACCCGTCAAAATAAGGAAAACCCATTTTTTTTCGGTTGCTTAATTCCGCGTTTTTCGAGATAAAAAAAAGAAGCTACGGCTACGGTGCCTTCGGGCATCGTGTGAGCCAGCCATTTTCTTTTTACTTTTTCACTTCATTGCTCTTTCTTTTTGCCGACAGTGCACAACTTAGGGGTGTAAATTTAGAACCCGCATGTAGCGTTAATCTCTTACGGAATCTGTGTGAAAGGTATAGAAGTTTGAAGTTTATTATTAATAGCAAAGTAACGACACATAAAATGAAGGAAACTTTTTACAGACTAGGGTCCCATAGTTCGATGACTTTAGGGGGACCCACGATAAAAAAAGCATGGAAAAAAATTGCAACGGCAAATGGCAAGACGAAATAGTATAAACAGAACGATGTTACATAACAGGGTAAATGGCAAAACAACTAGACAAGATATCGACTACGTTCACCGTTAGAACTTCGTGAAATCTGCTGTTAGCAGGCGAATTTCCTTCTTATATTTCCACGACAATTATCTTAGGCCATGATTTTGTGTATTAGATTGGTAAATAGAGATAGGGAAAGTTCAGATAGACCCCCCTTACGCAAATACTGTATATAGCACTTATATAAATTGCATGCGGCCGTATATAAGTATGTATGTTTGCATATGTGGCTACCATATAGAATATGTGGATGTAAACAGGGCCATGAACGGCGCGACTGATTGATATATGTTCTGTCAAATGGAGCCGTATATGGCATGGCCGCTCCATATATGGCGTAAAACGCAGCCATATATGGCATGATCACACCCTATATGACATCATGTAGGTCCGGAAGTTCCATGCTACAATTCCAGGCCTGCTTATTCTTGGCCTTGATTTTGTGTGTTTGATAGGAAAGGGAATAGAAATAGTTTTGATAGGCACTTTAATGGCAACTGAACATAAAAGCATATATGTGGACTTTTACGCGCCAAAACCACGACATCATTGAGCCACACCGTAGAAGAGGGCTACGGAAATTCCCTTCATCGTGTGATCTTTAACGCGGGCCTCTATAGCATTAGATACGCTACGTGAAAAATTTCGTCTTTGATAAAGGTCATTCCTCGGTCGGAAAGACAGAATAAATACTTTTCCATCGTTGTTATCTTGACTTTTAATACTGCTGGTTTGTTAGCCATCTTTTTACGTTATACGGTCGTGTCAAAAAAAGGCTACCTGCACTACCTGTACCCCCTTCTTTCACTGATGCACCCCCTTGCGAAAAATTTCTGCGGCCATCCTTATGCGCGAAGATTGTTTAAAAAATCGTTACACGAAATGATTACGAGGGACTCCGAAGTGGAGGGCTTCGGAAATTTTTGACAAACTGGTATTCTACAACTTGCACCGACATCACAAAGTACGCGGACCCTATATCATCTGTCCTCCAGCTAAACGGAACCGCCGCAATCGAACCTTCGACCTTCTGATCAACAGACGAGCGCTCTAACCGCTATAGCCGCACGGCGCACTCACTGCAACATTGGAGTCATACCATTACCCGAACAGCCTATTCTCCTGAAACTGTATACATGTGTGTAGTATATATAAACGTCGACGTTATGGGACCAACGCAGCGAGACACCCTCGGGCGTTCATCCTTAAGAGACGACGGCGTGGGCAGAAGCAGTCGGTGCCGTCAGCCAGTCCTGTCGCTTTCATCTCTCTCATGCCTTCTCCGGTGCACGTTAGCAGCCCACGCTAAAAGGGCGCGTCGGCAATTATTCTTGCGCGGTACGCCCCATCGCGCACAAGCCCCCGGTCACGCCGCTTATCCGGCCAGCGTTAGTAGCGTGCAGCGAGAACTTGTTTTTGCTGCGGCCCCGTATGCGCCGCTTGCGCAGGTGGCATCGTCGGCGGGTCGCTTATTCGTCCGAGTTTGGACCGTCGGC